CGCCCCAAAAGGAAAAAACGCTCAAAAAAAAAAAAAAAGAAAGAAAAGAAAACATGCTGGGCATGTGCATGCATGCCCAAAATTCCAACAATGGAGAAGGGATTATAGCATGATCACACCCCACTGAGGGGTGCTTTCTCTTTCTCCCTTTCTCTCTGCCTCACTCTCCAGTGAGCACACACACCCTCTGATATATTTTTTTTTAATCATAAAGCTTCAGGCCTGGCAGGTGGCAAGGTGGTTAAGGGCGCTGGACTCCCACATGGCCGACCATGGTTTAAGTTTATGACCTGGCGGCTTGCTTTCTCACTTTTCCTCTCTCTCTCTCTTGCTCTGTCCCTCTCTGGTCAAATTTTAAAAATAAAAATAAACTAATAATTTTTTAAAAGAATTTATTTTATTCAACTTTATATATTTAACTTGACCAGAGGGACAGAGAGAGTGAGAGAGAAGGAAAGTGAGAAAGCAAGCCGCCAGGTCTGGGACTCAAACCACAGTCAGCCATGGGGGAGTCCAGCGCCCTTAACCACCATGCCACCTGCCAGCTCCATAAATTAATAAATTTAAATAAAATTTTTTTTTTGAAATTATAAATAAAGCTTCTTGAAGATAACACTGGAGAGAATCTTCATGATCTCATTTTTAACAAAGATTTCTACAATACCACACAAAAAACACACATTCAAAACCTCAATATATTGTACTTCACCCAAATTTAAAACTTAGGCTCTTCAAAACACAGGTAAAAGGGACCAGCAGTTAGCGAAATGGCTATGTCACTGGATTCCCATGTAGTCAACCGCGGTTCGAGTCCTGGACCTGGTAGCTTGAACTCACACCGGGCGCATGTGCATGCGTGCCTAGGATCCCGAGAGGAGAATGGAGAAGGGATTGCGGTGTGGCCATCCCCCCTGGGGGGTGATTTCTCACTTTCTATCTCTTTGTCTCTCTCTGTCTTTCTGGCGAGCACATGCGCCCTGCAAAAACCTTTCCAAAAAAAAAAACCACAGGTAAAAAATGTTGTTACCAGGGCCAGCAGGTGGCATAGTGGTTAAGGTACGGGGCTCTCACAGGGCTGACCATGGTTTGAGTACTGGACCTAGCAGCTTGCTTTCTAACTTTCTCCTTCGTTCTCTCTGTCTCCCTCTGGTGAGCACACATGCCTTGTAGTAAATTTTTAAAATAACAATAATGATAAATAAAATTAAATAATTTTTTTTTTTTTTAAAAAAAGCTGTTACCAGCAGATGGCATAATGGTTATGTCACTAGATTCTCACATAGTCGATCGCAGTTCAGGTCTTGGACCTGGCAGCTTAAAACTCATGCCCGGCACATGTGCATACATGCCCAAAGTCCCAAAAAGAGACTGGAAGAGAAGGGACTGCAGCATGGTCATCCCTCCTCAGGAGCGATTTCTTGCTTTCTATCTCTCTGTCTCTCCCATGAACACACGTGTCCTATAACAAAAATATCTAAAAAGATAACAAAAAAACACAAGTAAGGGGCTGGCAGATGGTGTGGTGGTTAAGGGCACCGGACTCCACATGGCTGACCGTGGTTTGAGGTTTGAGTCCCGGACCTGGTGGCTTGCTTGCTCTCTCTCTCTCTCTCTCTCTCTCTCTCTC